AAATGTGTCAAAACACTCTGTCTTTAGAAAATCTCTGGGTTTAACAACAGAGAGCAGGCACTCATGTCCTCTCAGCCCGTTGCGAGTGGAGCTACTAAAGGAATGACCAAAGCCTTGCAAGTAGAGAAATATCTGCATCCAAAGCCATGTCAACTGGTCAACTCAACCAAATACTTGGTTTTATCTATTCTAGCTTTGCTAGGCTGAGCAGTACAGGTTTTCAGGCAGTTGAAAGGGAAACTTCAGAATTCTCTGATATCAAAGTTGACTTATCTGCATGACGAGTGACAAGACCCTGTTGGGAATCAGAAAAGTAATGGGGAATGAATGGGGAAGAAAATCATACTGTCAAATAAACTAGGCCTGCACAACCGCCAAAGGCCTCCCTGTCTCTGCTGTATTATGCAACACTGAGTCTTCAGATTTTATTTTGGGCTACTAGGCAGCAGCGAACTCCCCAGAGCTTGCCTGAGGCCATTCAGAGCAGTGAGCTGGAGAATCTGGTTGTGGTAAAGCAGCTGTTCTTACTACTCACAAAGTGTGAGCAAGGTGCAGAAAACAGGAATTAACATGCCAGCTGCAACAAATGACTAGAGCACGGAACACCAGACACACTGGTGCTAAAGCACTTGGCCACCAGCTCCACAGGATGAAGCGCTATTCGAGGGTTTACAGTGAGTGAGCAAAGAAGCATGGACTGAGGAAGTGGATGAGTAACTGGTATAAAGAGGACCCAAAGCTCCGTGGGTCAGGACAGAAGAGCTGTGTCATGATTTGTACGGAAAGAGAAAGGGCAATTATTTTTCTTATCTCTGGAGAGGAAAGGGAGGAAGACGTCGATAATACCCTTAGTTAGGTCTGTGCAACTAGAAACCGTCTGTTAAAAATGGGGACTAGGTATACGTCATATTGATACTTACTGAAGACTCAGGTTGACCCAGTACTAAGCAAAATACTGTAGGATTTTGCGGCTCAAACTGTGGCCTGCGGACCAGAGGCATCAGACTCACCCTCACCTGGAAGCTGGTCAGCAATGCATAACCTCGGACCCTACCGCAGACCTACGGCCACAATCTCCAGATCCCCAAGTGATCAGCCCGCACGTGAAAGTGTGATAAGAAGTGCGGCAAAACACCTCACTGCATTCCCCCAACAGCCCTGCGAGGCAGGCAGTTATTATCTCCGTCTCCCAGAGGAAAAGTCAAGGTTCAGACGAACCGTTTGCCCAAGGTCACAGAATTCTGGAGTGGCGGGGTCGCCGAGATGCTGCCTAAAGCGGGCCTGCGAGAGGAGTCCGCAGCCGGGCCCGGAAGCGCGGAGCCCGGCCTCGGCGCGTGCCCGGCCCTGCGCCGCCCAGGACGGGAGAGGCGGGCCAAGCGCCAGGCGGGCAGGGAGCGGGAGCGGCCGCCGCGACCTCCTCCCTGGGCGCCGCCACTCACCTGAGCCTGGCGAACGCGGGCGCCGCAACACCAGACCCCGGATCCCGCGGGAACGCCGCACCACCACGACTCCTCCAGCAACACCCGCACCTCACAGCCCCACTTCCGGCCAACTGTCCGCTACTTCCGCCTGCTGCGCTGGTGACGGGTGCGGCCGAGGCTCAAAAGACTCTGTCAGCGTTTTCCAAGGACGTTTTCCAGTGGAGGACGTTGCTAACAGGACGCGGGAGTCCAGGACTTGCGGAGGGGAAGCAGCGCCGTGGAGGGACCGCGCTGGAAGTCGCTGAATAGCCCTGACACTGGTTCGAATCCCAGATCGCCACTCAGGGTTTTATAGCCTTGGAGAAGTCACATCAACTATCTAAGCCTAGTTTCCCAACTGTATGGTGAGGATAATCACGCATCTCTAATAGAGATGCATCTGTGAAGCGCTCTCAGGAGAAGAGTTAGTGATGGATAGCCGAGCCAGTTAGGAGAAATGGATGTGAGGAGTTGGAGCTGGAGGAGGCCTGTGCATATACTGATGAGCAGGGTCATCATTTACCTCGCTGGGTAGAGGGGCTCACACCTGAGCCACTGTCAGCAACTAGCAAGGAAGAGACCCTCCAGGAGGGCCTGGTCCCGGACTGCTGTTCTGGGGGGGAACTTGAGAACTGCCAGTTGGGTTTGTCATACCTTGTCAGTGCCTTGGTTGCTGGTCCACCTATCCTAAGTGCTGTGAAGGAGACTTGAGAACTGACGCTCCTTCCAGGGCACCATCTTGTCAGGGAGGCAAAAACCAATGCAGGGAGGACACTTTACTGCAAATGAGGTGCAAGCCTGGCATCCCAATTCCTGAGCTCTCCGGAGGGCAATTTGCCTGATTCTCTCACTTGGACCAGACCAGAGCAAACATTCCTAATTGCTGATTATGACTCTCTTTGCCAGAAGAACCCAGAGAGAGCAGAGGGCCCATCCCCAGGTGATGAACCATATTGCTCCTAGGCAGCCATGACAATCCTGTTCTTTGCCAAATACTCAATTTCCCAGTCTCCCTTGAAGTGAGAAGAGGATGCAACTCAGTTCTGGCCAACAACATTTAAAGGGAAACGTCCTGGCTGGATTCTGGGAAAGCTTTTACCTTCATGATAAAGTAGTATTGCCTCAATTGCTTCATGGAGCTGTGGCAGCCACCTTGTGGCATGGAGGGAACTACATGCTAAGGGTGGGAGAGTAGGAGAATGAAGTCTTATGTCCTTGATGAACCAATACCTATGACAGGATGCTTGTGACCAGAATTGTCAGGTGAGGAAAAATAAACCACTCTTTAAGGTCTTGTAAATCAGGTTGTTGCTTGTGGTGGGGTGTGTTCTTGACCGGGGGGGGGGGGCTTTGTAAAGATGAGAGGCAGTTATCATAAAGGACAGCTCCCTGCTCACAGCACTCTTGGGTCCATTCTGCCTTTGGGGCTTCACCACTAATTAGAACCTTGTTCTCAAGCTTCATGTTTTTGTCTTCTGTCCTCAAACACTGGCCGGTCACTGTAAGGTGGCTCAGGACACCACATCTAGCTGTCCTGCACCACCTACCTGCCTTCCAGCCAGCAGCCTGGTGTCCAGATGCTGAGTTAGAACCACCTTGAAACCCTTCAGGGTGACAATCCGCGCTGAAGAGAAAGCCCCATCGGGCAGAAACTTGGAAACACGACTCCTCCTGGGCGACATGGAGGAGGTTGGGCTTTGGGCCAGCCTTCTCGCACGGCCCAGTGAGCACCTCCGGTCTCATGCCTCCTCTGGGAAATCTGTTTACTCCAGCTTTGCCCTCCACACCCCCCTCACCCAGGCTTCACCTCCCAAACCTGCAAAGACACAAGCAGGCCAAAGAATGCCACTCGAGAGGCTTTCTCCATTTTATTTCTTTGGGAAAAGAAAACGAAGTCTTTCCATCACCTATGGTAGAGATATATATTTATATATATTTATATATAATTTCTTTTGGGGTTGGAAGTCCCAAAGCTGAGTCTGTTCATATTTTTTTCTATTTTTTTTTTTTTTCCTACTAATGCCTTCTCTTCCCCCTGCCCCTCTGGCCCAGGCCCAGGTTCTGGGACAGGTACAGTGAGGGGTGAGTGGAATGGGCAGTGATTGCCAGATGGCCCCCCTCACCTGGCTCAGAGATCTGGTGAGGGTCACCGGGAAGGGGCTGTGCAGAGGGATAGAGGCCACACAGGGGGGCACTCTTGTTTTTGTGGGGGACGCACAGCTCATTAAACAGTCACCAGTCATGGGAGGAGGCTGGTCAGGGGTTGGGGAACTTGCTCACAGTAGTTGCCAGCTCTCTCCACCGTGCCTCCAAACCCCGTCTTGGGGGTGGGAGGAAGAGAGTGAAAAGAGAGAAATACAAGGGCTGAGGGCCAAGCCTCCTCTAATTTTTATTGCTGGTGAATTAGAAATTTGCCTTTCCCTTCCTATCTTAGGGAGATAGACTCAGAGGATGCCGAGAGGAGAAGGGAAGTGACAGTGGTGTCCCAACCCCCGCTGATGGCCGTGCCAGGCCTACCCTGGGCAAACACTGGGCTACTTCGAGGTCCTGGGAACTCAGGGGTCAGTGTTCCTCTCAGGTCAGCCTTGTCCTTCAAGGGCAATCACAACCGTCCCCCCTCGCTCCCCAAAACAAAGGCCTCTGGCTCAGGCTTGGGCCCATTGGAGCTTGGAAGTGGGCAGTGCACCAAAGATCAAGCAGAATTTTCTACTGGAAGAAAAGGTGAGGTTTGGGGGTAAGAGGCGGCCTAGGACAATGATGTTCTGAGCGTGAAAGCAGAGGGAGGCTGGGGGAATCAAGTGGGAGAAGACACAGGAAGACATCACAGACACTCATATGACCTCAGAAACCGGGTGAGGGGAGTGCCTGAGAGGCAGGTAGCACTTAATAGCTGTAGTTAGAGCCGGACAGCGGCCCTGGGTGTGGGGTGAGCCAAGCAGATGGGGCTATCACCCTGTGGGATCCTGGCCAGAAGGGTGGGGTAGAGCTAAGAAGTCTCCAGGTGACCCTTCCCAAGAACAGGAGAGCAGATCTTCCCTGGGCAGAGTCTCCACCCCCAGCCTTCCCTCCGGCCCCTGATACACACATATGGACATACACTCAGGACCAGGCCAGGCTCCGAGGCCTGAGCCCAAGAGACCTTGGTGGTGGGGGGAGGGAAGGAGCTGGGCAGGTAGCCCTCTCAACCACATATGGGCCATCTGCTCCCACTCGTCCTGCCAATCTGCCCAGGGAGAGATAATAGGGCAGGAAGGAGAGAGGCCAGGAGCCCAAGGTCTGTCAGCTTCGGCAGAGCCCATGCAGGCTCCCTCAGGCTACATGGCCTTGGAGGTGACCACAGAGAGCGTCACTGGACACCGGGGTGGCCAACAGGGGCAGCCCGGACCTACTGAGGGCTGGACTATCTCATGGCACTGCAGGCCTGACGCCTCCCATCTCCCGCAAAGCAGTGCCAAGAAGGGGGGCACGGGCTCCCCTGATGCCTGGGCCCCTCAACCCCCAATCACTCAGCCTCCCTCTCTCCCCTCCTTGGGAGGAGGGTCCAAGAGGGCTGCCCAGAGGGCCAGTGGTAGAGCCCTAAGGGCACCCAGTGGGGGGTGGGGAGGGACCTGGTCACAGCTGCTTTGAGAACCTCTTTGGTCTGGGGGTATGGGGAACATGGGGAAGAGAAATGGCAGGAAGGGGACACTGGGGACTCTTGGCCTTTGACAGGGCATTTGTCAAAAGGCCACATGCCCAGGTAGGGGATCAGATTTCCGTGGACTCAATGCGCTCAAGGCGGGAGGGCGTCCAGGCTTTCTTCTCCTCGCCGTGTTGGGGGGTGGGTGTGCTGGCACCCCCCGCTGCCCCGCGCTCCCGCAGCCGCCGCTCCAGCTGCTGGTTGCGCTGGTACATCTCCACGTAACTCAGCTGCAGCTGCTTCTGGTACTCGATGACCTTCTCCTTCTCCTCCAGCCACACGCGGCGCTCCTCCGCGAAGCTGGCCCCCTGGCGCTCCCGGGCTCGCCGCTCGGCCGCCAGCTCGGCCTGCAGCCGCCCCACCTCCCGCCGCAGGGCCCGCGTCCCGCTCTCCCCGCCAGCTTCAGCCTCCCCGTCCAAGGAAACCAACGAGGCGGCGGCGGCCACCCCGGCCTGCCGGCGCATCTTGGCCTCGTCGCTCTCGCACGTGGCCAGGGCCTCCTGGGGCTCGGCCGGGTCCACGGGGGTCAGGGCGGGCTTGAGGCACGCCGGGGGCAGCTCTGCCTCGCCCAGCTCCAGGCTGGCCTGTTTGCTGCCGAAGGAGTCCCTCAGGCTGAGCAGCTGCTCCTCCTTCTCCCGCAGCGAGGCCCGGCCCTCCCGCAGCTGCGAGCGCAGCCCCACGATCTCACTCAGCTTCTGGGACACGTCGGCCTGCGAGTCCTTCAGCTGCTGCTTCAGGAGGGAGATCTCCCCCGCCTTCTGGCACACCTGGGCAGGGGCAGGGGCGAAGAGGACCAGGGTCAAGACAGAGCCCTGCGGGCCGCCGGCCCCTCCCTCCAGCCCACGGCGCCGAGCATCCCCAGATGCAGGCTTAACTCCTGGGACACGCAGGAATGCCCCAACGGGCCCCCCTTGGACTACTCAGGACACACATGGCTAATCTCATACAGCCCCCTCCAGCCCCCCAGGGCCGCTCTGGTCCTCAAAGACCCTCCTCATCAGTTCTGTGCCCCTCCCCCTTCACTCCCCTTGGGACAGTGGGCAGCAGCTCTGGGTTTTTCCAGAGCGACAGAAGGAAGGAGACTCAGAGAGGGAGAGCCCAAGCCCCCTGCCCGCACCTCCCACTTAGTTTCCTCCATCCGGGGCAGGAAGTCAGCCTGCTCCTTCTGGCAGGCGGCCACCTTGTCCTCCAGCTCTTCCCGCTGCCGCATCAGCCGGGCGGCCTCCTCCTGCAGCTGCTTCTTGTCCTGCTGCAGCCGCAGCACCTGCAGCTGTAGGCCCTGCTGGGCGCGCTGGGCGCGGCGGGCCACCTGCTGCAGCTTCCCGCTGCAGCCCTGCCGCAGCTCCGCCAGCTCGCGCTCCCACGCCTTCTGCCGCTCCTCCAGCACCTGGGCCACCGCGGCCTCGCTCTGCTCCAGGCTCCGCCGCAGAGCTGTCACCTCCTGCTCCTTCTCCCACAGCCGCTCCTCGAGCTCCTGGATCAGGGCACTGGGCGAGGGGGGTGAGCAGGCCGCGAACGGCAGGCCTCCACCTCCGCCCTCCCCCGACCCCAGGTGGCCTGGCCGCCCCATGGAGGAGGACGACCCGCTCTTGCTGGAGGCACGCCCGCTGTCAGAGGTCCCCAGGTCCTGGTAGCCCGAGCTGCCGCCGCCGCCGCCACTGCCACTGCCACTGCCACTGCCGTAGCTGGCAGTGCCGATGCGGTTGATGTGGCTGGTGGAGGCACTGAGGGGTGCCAGGTGCTGGCTATAGCTGGAGCTGTAGGTGGGCAGGCTTGTGAGCGAGTTCCGGCCTGAGTCTGAGAGGCCGCCCCCACCCCCGCCCGCTGGGGTCATGGTCCGAGACTTGTCCAGTCCGCCCTTGAGACCACCAGGACCCTGTCGTCCCTCAGGAGTACCATTGGTCTGCGGGGGGCACAAGTTCTGCATGGAGTGGAAGTTCTTGGGTACAACGGGCTTGAAGGCCGAAGGCCTGACTAGCGGCTCTGAGCACTGAGTAAAAAGCAAGCAAGGGGGAGTGGGCATCAGAATGGGGCCTTAACCTCGGCCCCAGCCTCTTCCCTCTGGCCAAGATAGGTTCAGCCTCACCCCCAATTAATCTCCATCCTGGAAGTCCCTCCCAGCCGGGGCTCCATCGCATGGCACCCAAAAGCCAAGTCTCCGCCCTGGAACCACCAGCTAGACTTAGCCCCCAAGACCCCACCCCAGGGCTCCCCAGCCCGACCTCCATTCTGGCCCCTGCACCCCAACCTCCAGGGCCCACTTTACCCTCCTCTCTTCCCCTCAGAGAAAAGGCCCTGGGGACCGACCTGGTCTAGCTTGCCAGAGGTGGCCAAGAGCTTAGGTGGATGGCTGGGCTCGCGATACTGCGGCGGGGCCTTGTCACTGCCCCCACTGCTGCTACTGCCCCCGCTGCTGGCCACCACGTTGCCGCAGACATCGGTGTGGTCGCTGCCCCGCAGCTCGCCGTTGAGGTAGAGGGAGTTGGCGAGAGCCTTGTCTTCGGAGGGGTAGCGGCCTGGTCTCTCCCTGCTGGCCCCACCACCGCTGCCACGGGGGCCGGGGAAACTGCCCTGGCTGCCCCCACCCCCCGTGCGGGTGCCCACACTCTTCATGGCGAACTCCTGGGCATGGGCCACCCCGCTGCCCACACTGCCCATGGCCAGGCGAGGGTCTGGGGGTCCGAGCTCAGAGGGCCGAGGGGCAAAGGCCAGGAGAGGATCCCGCCCTGGGTCAGCGCGCACAGGCAGCGTCTCCAGCTTCGCCATGACTGAGCCAGGGGGGCACTGCGGGCACAGGTGGGAAGGCAAAGATAGGTCAGCCCCACCCCCACTTGCACCCCGCCCTTCAGTGTCCCCTTCCCTATAATGGGTACAAGAGTTCCCAGACACCCAGGATGGAGGAATGGGGCTGGGGTAAGAGTGACAGCTTGGTAATGGGGGTGCCTGTTGCCCACCTGATGAAGCCCAAGCCCCAGGGCACCATGCACATACCCTCCCAGCTTTGCTCAGCTCAGCATTCCACTCCTCAGCTCCTGCCTCAACCCCACCTCCTCCATGAGCCCCAATTCTTCACTGCAGCCGCCAAAACTTAGGCGTTCTTTACCCTGGGTCTGGATCCCTATAACCCAACCTCCTGGGCTGGGGAGATGGGGTTGGAAAGGTACAATACTTGAATTCAATAGGGAACCTCAGAAATTAAGGGAAGGAGAGAACCCACCCCTAACCAAAACTTGGGAGTAGAGGTCCTCCCCGGCCCCCTAACCTAGGGTGTTGCAGTCAAGGGCAGAAGTGGAGGCTCACTACCAACGCAGGCTCCTCTCCTTGCCTTTCCAAGGGAGTGGGGGGCCGACGGGTCCTCAAGCCTGGGACCCTCCGAGGCCCGGTCTGCTGGGGCCATGTGCCTCACTCTCGCAGTCGGGGCTCGGCCCGAACCAGCTGGGCGACTTTGGACGGGCCGACTGAGCCATCCCGGACTACAGTTTTCTCCTCTGCGAAATGGGAGGAATGAAGGACCTACCTCATGGAGCTGCCGAGCGCCAGGCGCCCCGAGGAGGCGGACGCGGGAGGGACGGGAGTCTTGCGCCGCGCGCCCCTGGGTCGCATGTGGGCGCCACCTAGAGCACGCCCCGCGCCCCGCGTACGGCCGGGAACCTTGGCTGTAGCGGCGTGGCGAGCGGACCTTCCGGAGGTCTTCCCAACTCGGCCGCACGAGGGGCCCCTTCCCCACGGTCAGTACCTCTGCAGAAGCCCCGGGGCTGGCTGAGACAGGGGCAGAGGACGCGGTGCCACCAACTACGGGCGCAGGCCGTGCCTCCCTCCGGGCCTGCGTTTCCCATAGGTGGGGGGGGCAGGCGCGGGGCTTCCGCACCCACCTGCGTCCGCAGGGGATTCCGCGCCTCCCATCCCAAGAATTCACTGCCACCGGGAAGACTTCCTGGATTACCCCCTTCCCCCGTTCCCTTTGTACCTTGAACCGTGAAGTCCTCTGAGCCCTTCCGTGAGCGTGCGCCCCCCGCCCCCAAGGCCAACCCACAGGAGCGGGGCGCGGGGGGGGGGGGCAGCGCAGGCAGGGCGACAGGGCCTCGGGTTACCTGTGCTCAGGGAGGCCCCACTTCCTGGTTCCTTTGTCTCAAATCCACACCGGGAAACACCTGCCTTAGAGATCTGCATAATCTAGCGGGGCCAAGGCACCAGGCAGTGCCAGCCGCGGATGCACACCCTGGAATCCGTTTGCCAGAGGTGGCAGGGGCACCCTTCAGGCTCCCCCCCCCCACTCCCATGAGAAACCAGGCAAGAAGCCCTCCTTCTCTACCAAGGTGAAGGGGTCCAGGTGGCACTCCATGCCCCTCGAGTGCCCCTCAGACTGTCTTCTACCCAGATGCCCATTCTGATGCCATGTCCTCCCTATGAGGCCCCAGACCAGGGGAACCTGACAAAACTCTTGCCCTTCAGGAGTCTTTTGGCCACCACACCTGGAATTACAGCCCTAAGTGCTTGGAAAGTTCACCACCAAGCCAGGCCCCACTGCCTTTGTAAAATTCCATTCTCTCAGCGTCTGCCCCCCTCCCACCCCAGGGGTGGAGAACAGCACTTTACCACCTTCCTCCCAGGAGCCGGTCTATCCCCACATGCAAGGCTGAGTCTAGCGTGAGGCAAGGGAGGCACCTAGCGCAGAACGTCAGCACAGTGTCAGCAGGTGCAGGACGCTGAGAGTGAGTGCCTCTAGGGCCTCACTCTCATCCCCGCTCTGCTTCCGCTCCCCGCGTACTCCAGCTCAGTTACCCCTCAACTCAAAATCCCCCTCCCACCCTAAGCATGACCCCTTTCTCAGCATCCTCGGGTACAGTGTGGGGAGCAGCTGGGGACTAGGAGGATGAAAGCTGAGTGGCCTGAGGCTTGAAACCAGTGGGAAGGCCTGGGCAGGGTCTGGGAGGAAGAACTGACCAAACTTCATAGAGATGGGGTTCAGGGGTGGGGGCAAGGGGTGGGTGTGACACCCTTAACAAAACAGGGGGAGAATGTTTGGGGAAACAGGTACTTTGGGAAAGACCAGACAAAGATCTCTCTCACATACTGGGTGGAAAGAGACTGCAGTGGTCAGCATTCAAGGGTGGTGTGGGTGGAGCCCAGCATCGTGAGAAGGTGGCAGGGCCCCAGAAGCCTGGGAGCCAGTGTGGACGCAAGAAGGAGGCCAGAAGAAGGCAGGCCCTGCAGAACAAGCTGGGGGGCTTCAAGAATGTCAGAGCAGCTCCCCGTGTTAGAAAGGGGCCAGGTAAAGTCGAGACTGGAGAGTGTATCCTGGATCTGGCAGCTGGAAACCTCACTGGCTTCAGAAAAGTGGTGCATGGCAAAGCCAGGCTACAAGAGTAGCTGGGTCTGGAGGGAGAGATGGGAGAGTTCCCTGGTGAAAGAGAAGGCCAGAGAAGGCAGTAACTTAAGGTGGTTTGGGATCCAAAGGCTCTTTTCTAATTTTAAATTAAGCATGGTAGAAACCTGAGTATGTTGCTATGCCGAAGGAAGGTGCCAATAGTGAGATGCGCGAGCGAGGCAAGGGGGCTTCAGCAGATGCCCGGATGTGGGTAGGAGCAAACCTCGGAAGTGGTCATGTTGATGATGAGCATGACAGGGGACAGTGTTTGCAAGGGTGCTTTCTGGGCTGTAGGGCACAGTACAAACATGCAGTACTACTTTGTGATCCACAAAAGGAGGATCTGACCACAGGTTGAGGCTGGTGGTAGGCCACTCTGCACCACTGTTTCCCTGGGATGTGTGTGGCCCCCAGACAAGCTCAATGCACAGAGTCCTAGATGGAAATGAGGTGTTCCCGGGACTGTCTCCTGGGACCAGCTCCTGCTCTACCTGGGGAATCCTTGACTATCAACCCAGAGCAGCTCTCCCTGGAGCCTCATTCCCCAAAGAGTGTCTTGCCATAATTCTAACCTGTCAGTAAGCATTCCCCGCCCCTTGCCTTTGCCCGAGTTTGGGCTGCTGCAGCTTCTCTTCTCAAAACCCCAGCAGGGAGCTGGCAGGACAAGGAAGGGCATTTGTTTCCCTGAGAGACAGAAACTGAGCCCAGCGGAAGAGTTTGAGCTTCGCGTATGGGTTAGGGTCCTGAACTGGCCCAGGTGGCTGAGCATGGTCTGCATAGGCAGCCTCAAGGCATCAGCTCAACAACCTGGGATGACAGCCTGTTGCCCAACTCTGCGGCTCTCTCTGTGCCATCAACCTTCGTTGCCTGGGACATTATGCAGAGTATTGATGGTCATAAAGGGGTCAAATGATCTGTACCTGGGCTCTACATGGGCCGGTCCCTCCAACCCGCAGTGACCACTCAACCCCTCCGTACTTCTGTCCCTCCCAAAGCTAAGAACACTCTATCCCTCTCTTGTGGTCTCAGAGGCCCCTATACCAGCCCATTTGCCCCCTAAAGCTTTCAGTAGCCCCTCTTGCCAGCACCCTTGCTGGGGGCTCCTCACTGGCGGCTCCTCACTGGCCTCTTCCCCCCTGCACTCCCTCCTACAAACAGCTGCCAGGGGACTCTTTCTAAAGGGCAAAGCTGATCTTGTCCCTGCTCTGCCCAAATTCTTCCACGAGCAGCGCCAAGAACAGCCGACATGGGTTCTGGAGGCATCAACTCAAGTGTAAATCCCAGCTGAACTGATTAGGGGTGAATGCATGCAGGTTATTTCACCTCGGGTTCTCACACCTACCTTACAGGAATCTTAAGAAGTAAATGTATTATGGGTAAGAGGCCTGGCATTTCTCTCAGTCCCCAGAACCAGAGCAGAGCTTGCAGCAGGGCCTTCAAGGCATCTCCCGCTGCCCTTCCTATTTCCCCTGACCTGAGCTCCTCTCCACTCCACACAAAATCTCTTCCCAGCTCTCTATGCCCACCCTGCATCCTTCAAGGACCAATCCAAATGCTGCCTCCCAGGACAGCATCCCTGATCGGCCCTGGGGAGCAGGGGCCTTGGAGCACTTGGCTCAAGCTACTCCAGGGAGATTTCACTCTGAAGCTTCCCCAGGGGCTGGACTGGGGGAGCCCTGGGGACACAGATGGCAGAGTCCTAGGGCTCTCTGGGCCCTGACCCTGAGGAGACACAGAGACAATGCTGTGGGAATGCTAGCTTTGAGCAATGCAAAGAGGCAATGAATCTGGACAGGAAAATCAGGAAGGGCTTCCGGGAAGAAGGACTGAGGGAGAAAGAGGACTGAGGGCACTGTAGGGCTTTTGGGGTGCAGAGGTCTTCAGAACTTCTTGGTTGGGATGTGTGAGGGGAGATCCACCTTTCCTTGGTGTCAACGGGGGAAGGGAACCATCTCCTAGATCCTGGCTCTGGTGAAGCTGGTGTTTAAGGACTGAGGGGGCTGACAGCGCCCCCCCTACCCCAGCACACACACGCGCGCACACACGAGCTTCCGCGCAGGGGAGTGGGGGTGTTCGCCATTCACCAGCAGTCCACGGCCCGCAGCGCCAACAGATAGAGACCCCGGCCACAGGCTGTCCTGAGGAGGTGCCCGAGGGTCTCCGTGGTGCAGGAAATCCCTCTCGCACCTTCCCTACCTCCCTACCAGCGCGTGTGGCCCCGGGGGGCGGGGCGCAGAGGGAAGAGGTGACATAATCCGGGCCGCACCCCCTCCGGCCGCCACCTCCCCCCAGGCCTAGTGAAGCATCCATGACATCATCGGCCTTATCTCCACTCCCCTCCCCCGCCCCGGGACCCCAGCAGCGGGACGCGCCCCCTCCCCAGCTCCGGGTCCGGCAGGACGAGCATCGCAGTGCAGCGGGCACGGCGACAGGTCGAAGCCGGGAGGGGTGCCGCGATGGGCCGGCCTCACTTACTCGCTGCCTCAGGGTCCAGCGCGGGGTCCTCAGAGCGGGCGCCACCGGCCCCGCTCGCTGGCGCAGCCCGAAGCCCGCCCGGCGGGGCGCGCGGCGCGGGCCCGGCTCGGCTCCGCGCCCCTCCCGCTCCCCGCCCGGGCCCCGCCCACCCGCGGCTGCGGCAAACGCGGGCCCGCCCTCCGGCCACGCCCCCCAGGGC